GATTTGAAATAATATAATAAAATATAACATGTAGGTTTATAGATGAAAATCCTATTTAAAATTATTTAAAAAATAGCTAATTTGAAGAAGATATGGAACATATACATATATAAAGAGGGAATCAAAAATTCTTGTAATTCTAACAATTTGTGGAGTATTCTTGACTAAAGCTTTACAAACAGAGCATAAATATACTTTATTTTTAATATTTTCAGACTTAAATTAATTAATATAATTGTTTTTAGACGAAAATCTTTTATACATGTTGTACTAGCACTCTATTAACAAAAACAACAATTTTAATTACTTTATCTATGACGAAAATATAACAGTAAAAACGAACACTAACTTAGTTCCATGTTTTCATGACATGAGATGATATATATTTCTAAAAACAGAAAAAATGACTCCTCTGTTTTATAAATATTTAGATACCCTCACGCCTTATATGTGAACAATATTTTGGTAATAGATTGTTTTCTGTTTTGCGAATTAGATATAATAAACATGATTTTTATATCGTGCAATTTTATTAATAACATGATAAATAAAATAAAATAACATAGATATCGCGTTTGAGACAGGTCATCGCAGGACGCCTCGTTTTGCAATTTTAGATGTGAATTAATTTGCGAACGTGACCCCTGAAACGAAAAACTACAGTAATATCATTTTTAGAGGTTTAAAATGAGACTATTGATGAGCAAGACTGTCCCAGTCTCAATGTTGGTATTGGTCTTGCTCTCCCTCCCACAACATATTCTAAGTTATCATCATCATAAGGTCGTCAGTCCCAAGACTGGTTGGACACGCACCTCCACTCTTTTCTACCCTGAGCTAATCTTCGCATTTCCCAGTAATCTAATCTAGATCTACCTCTACCTCTCCTAACTCCCGTTGCTGCCTCTAATATGTCTCTGACTAGACCTTCATGCCTGAGAAGGTGTTCTACCAACTTATCTCTCCTATTTCTTATTGACTTCCATAGAGTCCTCCGTTTTCCTATTCCTTCTAATACCTTTTCATTTCTAACCTTCTCTATCCACGGTATCCTTATTATTCGCTTGTAACACCACATTTCGAACGCATCTAACCTTTTCTTGTTTTCGTGTTTTTGTGTTTCGCTACCGTACAGAGCCGCGATCCAAACAATCTTTTTCGAATCTCTAAATTAATTGTTCGCGAGCATAGAAGTGACTTCTTTTTATTGAATGCGACTCGACCCTACGCTATCCTCTGCTTTATATCCCTACAACTCCATCCGTCCTGACTTATCTGACTTCCTGGATACCTAAAATCAGCCACTTCTTCTAATTTTTCATTTCCTATCTATATATTCGCTCTTTCTCTAATTTTTCTTCCTTTACATACCAATATTTTTGTTTTACTTAAACGCAATATTAACAATTAAACAATTTTAATATGTACCACGGGGTAGCGTTGCCTTTATTTTTTATAATGTCAAAAATTCTAAAGGGCATGTTTTTAACCAAACATAGGAAAGATTTTGATATAAACGAATCCCATACTTTCTGGCTTCAGTTCTGGGATTCCCCATTAGGATATCAAAAACAGCAACTTTACAACCAAATCCTGTATAAATGCCTTTTGTAAGGTTTATGAAACATTAAAAATCTATTTGTATACACGTGTATTGTGTGCAAAAGTATTNGTTCATTCCGGGTCCGTCTGCCTTGGTCCAAGTTTTTCTGTGGTTTCCTTGGATCACTTAGGCAAATGCTGAGGCAGTAATATTCCACAGATAATCTATTACTTCTCTTCTGTCTTCATTTCGTCCGTCTCATCTTTCTCACCCAAACCACCACCCACCCATTCCTACGATTCCTGAAAGCAGGCTGAAGAGGGCCGTCCGCCCTACCTTCCGGCATAGTCCGGAGGGACTGCCCGCCCACCAGCATTACTAGCTGGTGGGAATGAAACACCCAAAAGTTTTTTTTTTTTTTTGGTATCCTCATTAGTCGTCGGTAACACCACATTTCGAACGCTTCTAACTTTTTCTCTGCATACCACTATTTTTGTTTTACTTAAACGCAATATTAACAATGAAACAGTTTCAATATGTAACATCGCCTTTATTTTTTATAATGCTAAAAATTGCAAGGGGCATAGTTTTAACCAAACATTGGAAAGATTTTGATATAAACGAATCCCATAT